AGTATGGGGATGTTCCTTCTCCATCAGCAGAAGCCTCTGAGATTGTCCAAGGACGTGACTCAGACAAGGCCACTACTCTGCAAGCTACAGCAGAGCTAAGAGAGACAGACCTTTTAGAAATCAAATTTACCCTAATCCTTTCTAGTTTTACTACTTATTTTTCCTCCAACTCTGCATGCAGCTTAGATAAAAAGGGCAAGAAGGCAGATGAATATTAGGATGAGAAGCATAATTAAAACATGCACATGCAGTGTTCTTTAACAGGATTACAGAGTGCAGGATAAGACCACGTCATGGGAAAATACAAGCACAGGCTTAAGTCTCCCTAAATGGGAAGAGGCTTCACTTCCAGGTGACCCTGTGGCCACCACCACTGACAGTGCTGCAATAGGAGGTTTTCAACACAAAGGCAGTTTTCTAACAGTTTTTAGACACATTAGTGTTGCCTATTTTTCACAGCACTCAGGTTGGATCAAACCTCATCCCATTTCCCACTGGCCTCATGACAAAGCAGCATTCACTGTGTTTAGCCATGTTCAAAACTCCAAGCATTCTCTTACAAGGTAAAAGGAATGAAAACAGATTACCAAGAAGAGCAAACTGAAGAAATGCTCCACAGTACTTACGCTTCCAGCCCAAAGCTCAGTGGATTCTCCTATTAGTTTATAATATACATACACTGCTTCTCCCTTCTTAAAATTTACAAAGCGACAATCTGGACCTTTAAAATCCTGCATGGCCTTCCCTCGGCACATTAACACTGTCCAAAGAAAACAAAGAGAAGAGTATGACTTTAAAAATAATTTACATGAAAAGTGTCTTTACTAACTGGCAGTAAACAAGACCTTGCATGTTCCACTTTGCTATTTTCTAGATTGGGTCAAGAGATAAAGTAAATTGAAAGTCTAACTAAGAAATTAATTAATAAAAATATAACTAAATTGAAAGTATAACTAAGAAATTTTTAGCTATAATTCACGCAAACAAACAAGCCAAGTTATAACTAAAATTTTAAAAAGGCAAGTTATAGCTAAAAAAGTAAAGAAGCATTCTAGTCAAGACAAGCGTTTGATAAGGCACTGGAGAACTACACTTCAGGGGTGAGCTATGAAGTTAGTTATTAATGTTAAATCAGAAAGATGACATCTGTGTCCTAGCAAACCGGTCCTGAAATTATCCCAGAGAACATCCGCGGGTTTATCACGAGGGCTCTGCAGTCGGGGGAGAAAACGAAACACGGAGCTGCGGGGATCTGAAAACTTGGCCGAGCAGAGAGGGACGGCGCACGTGAGCGTCGCGTTCCCGTTTCCCCGATCCTCCCCAATTTCCGTGCACGAGTCGGCGGAAGGAGGGGGCTTAGAGAAGAGCCTCCGGCAGGCATCTTCGCCCACAACTCCCTCGCCGGGGCCGTGCCCGCTGCCCCCACTCACTGCTGCACTCGAGGTCGGCGCAGCGCTTGCGCTCGGCGAAGCGGCGGCCCAGGTCGGGCGCGGCGGCGGCGGCGCAGCGCGAGCCCGGCGGCAGCGGCAGCGGCAGCAGCAGCAGCAGGGCGAGCAGCAGACAGGGCTCCGGCGGCGCCGCTGCGGCCATGTCGGCGAGCGCCGCGGAAGGAGGCAGCCGGGCCGGGAAGGAAGGAGCAGACACGTCAGCAGCGCCGACGGGAGGGCGATGTGGCGGGGGAGGGACAAGCCCGGCCCCGCCGCCACGGGAGGAGGGTAACGCACGGACTCTCCCTCGCTCCCTGCCGGCGGTAGGATCCCGATCCCGAGGAGGCGGCACCCCTGGACGCTGCACCGAGCAGGAGTCCGGCTACTTTTCCTGCTTCGCAGGCCAGAAAAGAAGGAAGGTCCTGCCCCTTATTTGTGCGGGTTTCTCCAGGTGAGGATCGCTGGAGTAACAAGAACCTACAGAAAGGTTACAGCTGCCTCCCTGTAAGGACACGACAGATCCGAACAAGCACTTGACTGCTCTCCCTCCTGCTCCGCCGAGCAGTTCTTATCTCTGCTGGAGAGGAGCAGCCGCCACTTTCCCGGTGACCTCCGAGAGTTTGAGGTTACACCTGCGGTGCAGAGGGCAGAGGAGCTCATTCAGCCGTGACCCAGCACTGGGGAAAGTGTTTGGTTTCACAGCGGGTAGCCGAAAGCGCAGGATTCCCCAACAAGCCTATCCTTGTCCTTCTGTAGCTGCAGCTTCCACTTGCTGGTACATTTTAAGTGTTGAGTGTTTGCAAGCCAAAATATGTGCTGCTCACAAGTGTGCCTGCACTTACCATTGCCTTTTCTTCACATTCATCACCTTAACATTGCCTTAGAGATCTAAAATGGCAAAATGACAGCAGAAGTTACAATGCAGATGAACAAAACTTCTCTTTTTCAGACCCATGTTATTTGTTCAGCACAGTAGCCTGAATAGACAGAGAATAAAAGATGCAGGTAAGAAAGGACAGGTGACATAAGACAATCCTCTTGCTGGTGAATCAAATGACTACATTTTTTGTATTTTTTTCTACTTTCCAGAGCAAATTCTGAAGCTGCTCCCAAAATTAATAGGCACTCACAGAACTGATAGTCAAGGTGAACAATTAATTTTTTTGGTGCTTGTCAAAGCAGCTGAGGGTTTTTTCCAAGCGCTTTTGAAGAGTCCTTTTAAATGCTACATCTCAAGACTTAGCAATCACTGTTGCTAATTGCATGTGTTCCTCTTGCATCCTCACGCCTATTGATTTTTGCTCCAGACCCTCATTTCCACATTCTCTTTCTACAAAGCCTTAGATCCAGGCTTAGTTACTGCTGTGTAATCTCTGAAAAATATGTGTTTCATTTTCAGCCCCCACCTAGAGCAGTTTAATATTTTAATCACATTATGAAAAAGTGTCAAGGTAGAAACAGGTGTTGGTACCTCTTTGCCAGCATCCTACAGACATCCTGGCATTTCTTATGGTCCTGTGTATCCCCAGGACCCACATACTACAGGAATGCAATGATTCATTCACCCAGTGCTCATGTGTTTTCTCCAGGCCTAGCGCAATATAGCGGCTGTAGCTCTCCTGCAATTGTGTTGACATTCTTGTTTTACATCTTAGAGAATGAGGTGATACCTATTTGCCATCGCTGATGTTGGCTGATTAAAAGCTCTAAGAAAGCCTAACTCAGAAAAGAAGAAGTTTAGAAATCTAGAAGTTTGTCACAACTTACAATATGGAAATAAATTAAATCAAGACACATTTTAGGATAACTCTGTGAGTGAAAGATAAGCATCCTTTCCTCAACATTTCCTGTTGTGTAATGCCCACAGTATTAAGTCCAATTTCTTGTGAAGAAAGAGCCGTTTGGTCATTTTCCATCAATACAATTTATCAAGCTTATCTTTATAAAAGACCAAGATAAAAGGTAATAAAAGGTGTCTGTGGTTGTAAAAACAAGGGCAAGAAAGGGAAATGTGAAGAAAAACAAAATCACATACTTCTTGTATAAGTCACTGCCTTTATTGTACAATAATGAGCAGCTTGCAGTTGATACATATACACAAGTTTACCACTGCAACTGTCAAGTATTTCCTACAATTTCAATTATTTCAGGGTAATAAGGTAGCCACTTACTAACATACCTAGCTTTCCTCAATGTGTGAAAGAAAAGAAAAATATTTCACTTAGTTTAATTAAGATATTTCAGGCAAAATTTCTTTCCAGTTTTCAACCCCAATCTTGGAAATATGTATTCAGCTATGAGTGTAGTCCCACTGTACATGAGGTACCTAACATTCACCTACTCTTAAAAAGCAATTCTCCTATCTCTTCTGCACTAAAATATCTACTAAAGTAGCTGATACCCATTAACAAGATCAGTTGGCTAGGTTTACCTAAGGATCAGGAAACACTCACTGTCGCAATTTCTGGGGTCCCTGTTGTTGGGAGAAAATTGATGAATCTGACTCCATATTTTTAGAAGGCTAATTTATTATTTTATTTTCTATAATATTATATTAATGCTATACTAAACTATACTAAAGAAAGATAGAAAGGATACAGACAGAAGGTTACAAAGAATGATAGTGAAAACTCGTGACTCCTTCCAGTCCCGACACAGCCTGACTGTGATTGGTCATTAAGTTAAAACAATTCACATGAAACCAATAAAACATGCACCTGTTGGTAAACAATGTCTAAGCCACATTCCAAAGCAGCAAAACACAGGAAAAGTAAATCACATAATTATTGTTTTCATTTTTCTCTGAGGCTTTTCAGCTTCCCAGGAGCATAATCCGAGGCAAAGAGTTTTTTCAGAGAATATAACTGTCACAACTCACTTATGTATGACACAGGAAAATAAAAATAACAAGCCAAAAGTAAGTGTTCTTGCATACAAGTGTGAGAACTTTTACCAAAAAATGGGGGATAAGTTGGATTCTGAAATTAGAATACTGAGCTAACAGAAGATCAGGAGTGTTGTAGGAACAGACATCAAACTTGGGGAATGCCAGTGATCAGAGAGGCACTCACACAAGGTACCAATTATAAAGGACAGTCAAAGAAAATGGCACTGATAAAGATGTGGTGTCATATAACATTTTATTGTCATCAATGAAGTAAGTTAATTATCCATCAATAACAATACTTATGAACTGAAATGCTGGCCTTTATTGGAAGAACACAGGATTAAAAATAAATAAAACGCAAAGGGAGACTTCTGTTTTCCCCACATTGATTTATTAAATACCATATTAAGGTATGATATTGAGGTTTAAGTGCTTAAATGCTGCACACAACTGTTCTGCCTTGCACTATTCCCAACACTGCTTATTGATCACAGCTGAACCAAGACACTCCATCACAGGAACTTTTAATCTGAGCCAGTTTATTATTTACTCACTCTCCTATGCCAGGGCAGTTCTGGAAAAAAAAAAAAAAAAAAAAAAAAAAAAAAACCAAAAAAAAAAAAAAAAAAAAAAAAAAAAAAAAAAAAAAAAAAAAAAAAAAAAAAAAAAAAAAAACAAAAAAAAAAAAAAAAAAAAAAAAACCCAAACAACTCTGTGAGATCTTATGCGGTAAACTGGACTTTGTACACATCAAAACAGTTCAGGGCAAACTCAATTCCAAAGTGGTTTAAACAAACAAGTTCCAGCACAGATTTGTATAAACCAGATGCTGTGGCTAAGGCAGATGGATTCCCAAAATCTAGTGGGAGCACAGGCAACATCATTGCTCTACAATGCACAGGATTTTGATTCGGAATCTCTACCTTCTGTACAACGTTATGAGTTACAAAGGAACAGGAAAACAGCAATACAGCTAATGGAAAGAGTGACAGGAGAAGCTCGCTAATTCATCTTTGAGTAACCAGGGCATTATCCACGGTTCTAGTCATTCTCTGACTGTTGTACATCTAGAAATAAACACCTCTCTGCTACACCGCTGCCCACACCCAGCTACCCCCCGTGCTCCACCTCATCCCTCATGCTTCACCCTTGGCCCGCATCTCTCATTCCCCCACACGCAAGGAGAAGCAGGGAAACGCTACGGAGGCACCGCGCAGCCCCACCCCTCACGGCGGCCGCACGCGCAGGGACCGCTCCCGCCCTGCGCTTCCGGGGAAGCGGCGCCTGCCGGGAATTCTCGCCCCTGCTGCCGGCGGGGAGGTGCCGTCCTGAGAGCGCCGCCCGGTCGCTGCCTGCCAGGCCCTTGTGTTCGGCTCGGCCGGGGCCTCCCGCTCCCCTGAGCTGCAAGGTGAGGTCGGAGCCCGGCTGCCCGCGGCGCCATGGACAGCTTCCTGGAAGAGGATGAGGAAGCGCCGGCAGTGGAAGTGAGGGGGAAGAGAAGGAGGAGGAGAAGCCCCGCCTCTCAGGCGGCCTTGCACCCGCCCCTGCACCTGCCCTTCCTGCCGCCGCAGCCGGGTAAGGGCGGAGCGTTTAGTGCGTTCTCTTTGTGAACTCCGTGCTGCCCTGGGAACGGTGGCAGAGTTTCAGCTTGTATCCGCTAAATTGTCTATTAGCGCCGGGAAATAGGTTCGAAATAACCGTAGTTATTTGGTGAGCGGGCGGTGTGCCCTTGCAGGCAGCAGGGCCCATGGTATCATCGGGAAGAGCACTGCCAGCAGGTCGAGGGAGGTGATCGTTCTGCTCTACTCAGCCCTGGTGAGGCACATCTGGAGTGCTGTGCCCATTTCTGGGCTCCTCGAAACAGGAGAAACATGGAGGTCCTGGAGAGAGTCCAGCAGAGGGCACCTAGGATGATTCGAGGTCTAGAGCATCTCTTATGAGGAGAGACTGAGAGAGCTGGGCCTCTTTAGTCTGGAGAAGACTGAGAGGGGATTTCGTTAATGCATGTAAATATCTCAAAGACAGGTGCTAAGGGCATGATGCCAGACTTTTCAGTAGTGTCCAGCAGTAGAACATGGTGCAGTGGCCATAAACTAAAGCACAAGAAGTTTCACCTCAGCATGAAGGAGATCTTTACATTGAGGGTGGCAGAGCACTGGAACAGCTGCCCATGGAGTTTGTGGAGTCTCCCTCTCTGGAGACTTTTTCAGATCCCAGCTAGACACCTTCCTGTGTCATCTGCTCCAGGTGACTCTGCCTTGGCAGCTGGTTGGACTGGATAATCTCCAGAGGTCCCTTCTAACTCTAATGGTTCTGTGATTGCCTGACTTAGCCATTGTTTGAGTTATTCCTCTGCCTACTCTATTCCTAGCATCCAGGTAGGAGGTGTCTTGTTGAGCTCTTCATGTGCCTTGTAGGTGGCTTTTTATGGATGAGCATTGTTGTAGGGTCATACAGCTGTGAGCTTTAAACACACTTCATGGAAATGAAGTTTCAGTTTCATGCTGGTTTCAGTATAAATTGAACTACTGTTGATGTAAAAAGACCAAGGGGCCTCTTTGGAGCCTTGTACTCAGATGAGAATAATTCTATACGTTTATCTTTGTGGGAATTGTTTAGCCTTTGGTACTGGAACAGTCTTGTTTGTTTGTGTGCTTGCAAATCTGCAGCACCATGGCATTACAAACTTAGGTGATGACTAATAAGTGAAGAGAATAGTCCCCAAAATATGACAGAATGTACCGTGAAGTTATCAAAACACCATGGCTCCCTGATTCTAGTAGGGCAATAGTGTGACGTAATTGCCTATTCACTGTTTCGAGTGAATGGAAATTTCAAGAACAGCTATGTGCTTCTTATGGAAAATGTCATTCCGTATCACATTTCCAGCTTGCCCCATAGTCTTGCTTCCCTGTTTATCTTCTAAACCACAGAGCTTAAGATGACTCTGTAGTGTCCATACAAGAAAGATGCTGAAATGGAGAGCATGTGGCTGCCTGAATAAGGGCTGTGACTGCGGTGGGCTCAGTTGATTTTTTTTTTTTTGTTTGGTTGGTTTTTGGGGTTTTTTTTTTTTTTTTTTTTTTTTTGTTGGTTTGTTTTGGTTTGGTTTGTTTTGGTTTTTTGTTTTTTTTTTGCTTATTTAGTATCTTCCAATGAACACAAGTTAAACTTCAAGAAGAGCAAGGAAACGTGTTTAAGTTACATTCAGGATGCCTTGCTCCAAAAGCAGTGGAAAAGGGCTGCAGAGTTCCTGACCTGCTATGTTGAGTCACTAGAGAAGGACTATTCCAGAGAACACATTGGTCCGTCAGAGGTAAGCCCATGTTCCCTGTCTGAGTTCTTTTGCAGTTGAAAAAATACTTGAAAAGCAGCATATACTTAATTAGCTAATCACAGGCTTGATTTTTTTTAAAAAATAGATCCTTGACACAGAAGAAGACTTAGCTTGGTATAAGTTCACTCTATCAGCAGTGTATCTATGAAAAGTCAAAGTAGTCCTCTAAAATGGGGAAGCAGTAAATGTGTTTGGTTCTGGCATGTCGTCATTCAGAATCTGTTTGCAAGTTGGTGTCTTACATTGTTACCAGCTTTTGCAGTAGCTGCAAAATTCCTTGCAGGTGTTGAGTTGGAAGCAGGTGGAAGGAAAAGGATCAGAGCTTTTAAATAAATGGAGTACTTGAGTACGGCTAGCTTGCAGACCTTGGAAACAAGTGCATGTAGTTGGGGAGCTACATCAAATTGGAAATAATCTTTGCTATTAAGTTCAAATAGTTGTGTATATCTGGTATCTTAGTGGAGTCATACCAAAGAAGAACGTAACTTTTCAGTGAGACGAGGAGGAACCCTCTGGCATGCAGTGTTCATAAACTCTTCTGGAGTGCTGCATTTATAATGAGCAATTCTGAACCACTGAATGACTCTAAAAGGCCTGCTGGATGAGTAGGTAGGTTAGATTATTAGCAGTAGATAATGCTTTGTAGTATTTTTTATTTGCAGCTCAAATGTACATTTTTCATGTTCTACAGTAACTACAAGTTTAGTAAAACTATATGTGATGTCTCTTGCCATTTTTGTACTAAAGTTGGTTTTGATTTTCTTTCTCCCCATTAATAGATGATTTGGAGAATAGGAACTGAAATTTTGTGGCATCATTCCCAAAGCAGCATGAAAGAGTTCAACTGTTTCATGGAACAGATGAAAACTTTAGGAGTAAAAAGGTACTTGAAGGTGAGTGTACTTAAAGCAGCCCTGATGATTTTTCACATTTATCTGAACACTTGTTTGAATATTAACTTCCAGATCTCTTTTGAAATGTACTACTGACATTAGTGTCAAAAAAACTCAAACCTAACATTTGAATTACCAATTGCATGATATTCTAAGGTCATTTTATACCTAACCTCATCTCATTTGGTCTGTGTGTTGAATCACAGATGTATGTTCTCAGTCCTTAGAAGTGCTTAAAAACTCTTCTATCTTTTAATTTGAATTTGAACCGGTCAAATTCATTTTCATGCACGTCCCAATGACATGTAAATACAGGCAATTACCTGCCAAGCTTTATTTCCAGTCTTTAATTTGACCACTGTGCTGCTGACTAAACATTTGTATTTAAATTTTGCCTCATTACCCTCTCACTTTTTGAGTAATCTGATTATAAAACTGTATGTTGTGCACACCTGTGTTACACAGCTGTGGAGTTTTTTTTAATGGATTTTTTTCTTCTGGTGGCTCATTCAAACCTATATTGTTGATTTCCTTGGCTGTTGTGCACTTGGGATGGTGCTTCTGTCTTTTATCCTGTTTGTAAAGGTCTTTAAAAGAAGTTCCATACAAGGGTTTTCTGGAGCTAACTGAAGGTTTAGGCTTTTATCTTATGGTGCCAAATCAACACGGTAGGGTGGAAGTACATCACTCTTTCAGGTGCTCTGAAAAATAAGTAAATGCAGCCCAGCTGGGTTTCCTCAGGTCATTTTTAGATCTTCTGAAATAGGTACAGCACATGTTAAAGACAAGCAGGTTTTTGAGGCAACACAAATAATTTAAATTCTTCATTACATGTCTTGGCAATATTTTTTATACATGTCAGTAAGTCTCCTCTTTCCCTGCACATGTGTGTAGAACTTTTCTGTATTGCTGAAAATTCTGCATTTGAGTGTGGAGCGCTGTGTTTTGGACTGTTTGGGTTGCAGGTCTGCTTGGAGCATGTCTTCCATCTCCTCTGTAATGGACAAATAGATGAAGCCTATCAGAACCTGTCCATGGCAGAAAGCTGGAGGTTTGGAGAGCAAACAGCCATTCAGGATAAGGAAATGAAGCTGCTTCAAGCTTACAGGGGACTCTTAGACTACTGTAGCTGGTCTAAGCAGAAGAAAATCCTGTTAGAGTATGGTAAGTGTTTTTTGGATTGAGCTGTAGCTTCAGCTTGGTCATGCAGGTGCTGTGGTTTGCAATGACACCTTTTCCTTTACCAGACTTCAGTGTGTAATGGTGTCGCTGGTACAGAATTCTATATCAGCAGTGATAGTAGTGCCAAAATAGCACTTTCTGAAGTGCCTTGAAATGCTCTTCTGAAACTGTTTCTCCCCATGTCCAGCCAGCATCACCTTAAATAATCATCAAAGGGCATTCCCTTAAAGCAGTGGTTTAGTAGGTGTGCAAGTGCTTGATTGCTGCTGGAATGTTGAGTGAAAGCAAAGCCCTCAACACTTGTGTTTGAATTTCAGTTTCCTTAAAGATGTGGAAGTTGCTACATGTGTCACATCTGGTTCTGTATATACCTACTGGCAGTGTTTTATCACTTGCACTAGATCTCTTTCTCTGGAAACCAGATGTTGAATTTGGCTTATGGACCTTGTGCTGGTAGCATCTTCTCTTGACGTCCTACTCATTGTGCTCCATAAGTTGAAATTGATTATAAATTTGAATGAGGAACAGTGAAAATTTCTTGTTTCAGTACTGAGGATTATTTTCTTAAAAGCTCTCTGACTGGAGTCATTGCTTACCAAAATGTGATCATCTCTAAGGTGCAGCACTTCAAGATCCCTGTGCTTGGCAGAGTTAATAACTTTGTGACCTTCCTTTGTGTTTTGGTAGGTGAGGATGGATTTGCAGAATTAACTGTTGAGCAGGAAATGCACGGTTACTTCCGGAAGGCAGCAGTGAACTTGAAGGAAATTATTAAAATACCTGGAGTCTGGGATGTCTTTGTGAAATGCTATGTGGATGTAAGGGCATCCCATAAGGGATGTTAGATGGCTTTCTTTTATGTTTCCTTGTCTAATTTTCATTAAGATCCCCATATGCAGATTATTTTCTGTGTGTGTGAGTGAAAACAAAGTATTTCAAAAGCAACACATTTGTATGTGCATGTCACGGGCTTTGATATAGAGTGCAGTGTACTCCTGGTAGAGCTGCAGAGCCTGAGCACAGTACAAAAAGAACTTTTATCTGTTCATTGTCAAGAAAAAGAAATAGACAAACAGCTTACATATTTTGTTTTTGTGGGACTGCAAAAATTGGAGCATAGCTGCTTTAGTTCAAATTCCTGAAAACACTTTGATTTTTGGTAGGGCAGTGTTTTCTCTGGATACATGAAATGTTAGAGATGCCAAATATGCAGCCCCTCTGTGTTTTGGTTTGGCTTTTTTAAGTATCTGCTTAGAATTTGTAATTAAGAATTAGTAATTTTAAAGAGATCTTTTACTTCTTGTGGACACTGATAAATTCTGACTTCTCTAAACATGTGTCTCGGTTTGGAAAGACAGAAGTCTGCTAAGGAAGGCAAGAGCCTCCCCTGAAATGGAAAATGTAAACTCCCTCTCTCTGAATTGTTACAAATTTGAAATTAAGGGGGGTTCTCAGGCAAAGATATGGGAGCAGGAATAACAGTTCTTTATTAGGGAAGAAAACAAAATAAACAATGCAGTAAATCAAAACAACACTGACAGTGTCAGAATACAACCTGACACCCTGTGGGTCAGGGTGTTGATAGTAGTCCAGTTGGAATTGTGGCTGCAGTTCTCCTGGAGTAGCAGGTGTGGTTCTGTTGGAGCAGGGATCCTGTAGAAGGATATAGTCTTCTTCTGATCTAGTGGAAGAGGCAGCTGTTCCTCCAGGAATCCAGTGGAAAGGCTGTTCTGCTGTCCCAGAATCTCAGATTATATCTAGTTAGGAATGCTTGGCAACTCCCTCTGGGTGGAACATCTCACAATGGGATGCTGTAATTTTATCAGCCATGCAGTGACAGTCAATGGCCCATTTAACAGATGATATCTCTCTGGAGGAAGGATGGGTTGTGGAAGAGATAAGGAAAACTGTCTAATTAGCAGAAGATAACTGCTGCACTTCTAACAGATGGCAAATAGAATACACATTGCTTGGTAATCCAGGACAGCACATCTTAAGAATTTTCCTTGGTGCTGGCATCTGCCAAGTTCTGTCTCTAAAGACACGGCAGGTGCCTTCAGCATCTCTTTCCAGTGAGCAAGGGATGATAATCCTTTGACAATTAAGTAGGTATTAAGGCTTTTTCTCCCTGAGTAGCTTCTGTGTGTGTATTCTTGTCTCTCTGTACTGAGAGTAGCCAGTAAAATTAAGATGGGCAAGTATCTAATTATCAAATATACATTATCTAATACACTGTATTAGATACACTAATACATTATCTTATATACAGACTGTGCTGCTGGTTTGCTCTGTGGCAGTCCAGAATTAGTTGTAAGAGTTTGGTTGCCTGTATCTGACAAACTAATGACAGACTTAACTTCCAGTTGCTGGAGTTCTATGGAGACCACAACGAGGCCCGCCAAGTGTTAAATGAATATGCTTACAACTCAAAGTTCCCTGCTAACCCAAATGCCCATGCCTACCTCTATCAGTTCCTCAAGAGGCAGGGTGAATCAAAGAAATCCCTCATATCTGCACTGAAGGTAGGTATCCCTTAGGAGATACAGTCTGTGTCAGTCATGGGGTGGTCTGACAGCTTGCTTGAGCTCTGTATCATTATTTATCCTATTGTATTCTTTGTGGGAAGTAGGGGATTAGGGGGTTTAAGTGATATGGTACACCATATCACTTAAAGGCAGTAAGCAAGCTCAGAGAACATGTTCACATGGTTCCAGAAGTCTGTATCAGCAGACTTGTGCATAGCATGCATTGATTTCTCTTACAGTTTGATCTTTACAATATTGTTCAAATCATTAAATGCCTTCTCTTTCACATATTGATCCTGTCTAGCAATTAGTTTCTTTGCTTGTTTTCAATGAGCTGTGCATTAAAGCTAAAAGTTAATGTCTGCTGGTTGTTGGCAGACAAGACCTTGTTGGGTAAAGTTTTAAATTCCTGCTTTCACTTGCCCTTGGTATTCCTTGCAAACCGTGCTCTGCCACTTGATGGCACTAATGTGCTTTTGTTAGTGCAAGTGTTGTTTAAAAACAGGTTTGTAAGGCTGTTGTGTTTGTTTTAGACTTTGATACTGTAGCAGATTTGCATGAAATTCTCCTCTGCATTTTAGCAGTGGCTTTAGACATGAGTCTCCTAGAAAAGAGAGATGAATAATAGAAATTGTTTGATAAGTCCAGAAACTGATCCAATGCACAGAGCAGTGGACAGGGGAGCTAGAACTGTCCTAGGGAAAAAATTACATTGCCTTCAAGAAAGGGGACACTGGATATGGATTTGGGCCGCTCCTTCAGAATGTTGTATTTGCCACATGCAGTGTTTGTCAGCAGCCATCGAGGTGTTTCATCTATGGTGTCACAGAGCAGTGTCACAAATGTGCAAAATGGACCTAGAGATCCATTCTTTATAACAAAGTTATAAAGATTACTTAATTTTCTGAACTAAAAGCACCCAAAGCTCTGAAGCCTGTGCTTTTCTTGGTCAGATAGGTTATTTTAATGTGAAAACTTTTGAAGACTTCTATCTGGGCTTTGCTTTTATTTTTCAGATCTTGCATGATATTGTTCCTTCTCATGAACTAATGATAGATTTTAATACCATGCTTCAAAAATCAAGTAAGTCTTTACCTTTGTTCATTTCATTTATGCTAATTTCAGAAAACTATTCTGGATTATCCTACAGCCTTCTTTCTGCTTTTGAAAGTAGTTTTCTTTCTTAAGACATAATCCCAAAAAACTAACTCAAATGCCAACTTTTCAATCACTGTGACCTCTTAGATGGATGTATGAGCAGTCATTTACAAACTTGTATAAACAAATGCTTTTTTTTTATTTTAAAGGCTGAGCAAAGCAAGCAGTTATAAGGCACAAGCAGGATCTCAAAAAAATTGTTTTTAGGCACCCTACTCTGAATTCCATTTTCGGGATCTCTGTTTTATTTTTTTCTTTTCTTTCTTGGAATGTATCTGTTCTTTAGTTCATTGTTAATGATCAAACAACAAAAATTTCCTTCTCTTTAAGGGAGCATTATCTTCAAGCTGGTAGAAAAGTCTTCTGCTCTGAAGACTATTTTTTTTCCATGCTGATCAATTGTATTCCAAGCTGTCTTTTTGTGGCTTGGTATGTCCCAGCAGGTCAACAGATTGGTGAAATGTACATGAATAAAGATTGTTCTCCCTTCTGATATGATGAGGGTTAATGGCTTCTAACTGACAAAGAGAGGTTTAGAAGAGATTTTGGGAATAAATTCTTGTGATTGTCAGGGTGGTGAGGCACTGGCACAGGTTGCCCAGGGAAGCTGTGGATGCCCCATCCACAGTGTTGAAGGAAGTGTTCAAGGCCAGGATAGCTGGGGCTCTGAGCAACCTGCTCTAGAAGAAGGTGTCCCTGCCAATGGCAAGAGGTTGTAACTTGATGATTTTTAAGGTCTTCTCCAACCCAAACCATGATTCTTCTTTCATAACTAATGAGAACAACCTGGAGATTTTAAAGAAATTTATACCAATAAACATAACTTATGTTTAAAGTAGCAGCATTGGTGGGGGGGGCAGGCAGAGTGGAGAACTGTGTTTCATTTGTGCCTTACTAATGAGTTCATCCTGGTCTGTGTAATTGATTAATCAGCCTCATCTTTTTCCAGAGAAAAGAAAAAAACATCAACTGAGCCTAGAAGTTATTTTTGCAGCCTTGGATTATGCTGGCTGGAAAGAAAATGCAAAAGCATGGAGCTGTTTGGCAAGACAGGTGAAACAAATTGTAACGTAAGTAGCTCTGATGCAATGTGTTGAAACAAATGCGTCAAGTCTCCACCTTTGGACAGTGCATCTCTGTGCTCTCTATTTGCCTTCATTTTTGCCTTTCATACACAACTTCATAATATCTTGAAATATACTGGGCATTTTGGTCACTGTACAGGAATGTCACTTCCCTGTTGTAGATAGTTTTATAGAATCCTAGAGTAGTTCGGGTAGAAAGTGATCTGAAAGAGGCACCTCCCACTAGAGCAGTGTAGTGGGCTGACCATGTGTCATGGATTGACCCTGGCACAGTGCCAGTGCCCCCATGAAAGGTGTATTTCCAAAATGGTTACTGTGAGATGTGACACCAAAGCTGCTCTATCCCCCCACTCTGCAACTGGATGTGGAGAGAAAAAATAATTGCTTGTGGGTTGAGAGAAGGACAGGGAGAGACCACTCACCAAATACTGTATTGGACAAAACAGACACAGGGCCTCACCATCAGAGTGAAAATTTTCTTCCTAATATCTAATCTAAACCTGTTGTTTGCAAGTTTAAAGCCATTCCTGACCCAGGGCCTCACCATCACAGTGAATAATTTTCTCGGGGTTTTCTCTGGTTGAGATGATCCCGAGGTGTGTTAAAAGTCTTTTTTCCCCATCCCAGCTGTCGAAGAATAGATCAGGAGTCTTCGGCTGTCGTTCTCAAGGTCGTTTATTATTTCTTATCTAAAATATTTTCTGTCTGGCCTGCCAAGGTCTGTTCTGCAGGTCAGTCTGAGGCACACTCCCCGTCCACAGGGCTGGTGTTGTCTTTTATACTAGAAACTACGTATTCGATATTTACAGTTATGTTCCAATACCTATCACCTATGTTAGACAGTGACTTTCTAGTCTAAACCAATCCCAAAATGCCACCATAACCAAGAAGATGGAGGCTAGGAAGAAGAAGGAAGAAGGACAGGACAATGCCCAAATCTCTCCATCTTGTCCCCCTAGACCCCCACAGTAAAATTCTTCAAAATTTCACCTTTCACCCTGTGACAAGTACTGTTATGCTACTTAAACTTTTGTGATTTGTAATTCTTCATATAAAGTTGGTAATTTGCTCCATGGGTTGAGATCGAATTCCCAAGTGTCTTTGGCTTCCTGACAGGGTCTCTGACCCCCCTTACCAGGGCTTTGAGCCATCCAGGGCATCCAGAGGGATGTCCTGGGTTCCGACATAATTCTTCCTAATATTTAATCTAAATCTGTCCTTTTCCATTTTAAAGCTGTTCCTCCTTGTCCTATCCCTACCTTCCCTTGCAAAAACTCCCTCTTTGTGTCTCTTGCAGGTTCCCTTGAAGGGGCTGGAAGGAGTTTGTGTTGCTGAAATGCTTGGTTTAAGGGCGTTATTGCCTAACAGTAATAACTGTTTGGGATGAATTAGTCTTTAAGTATGCCTGGAGTAACACAAACCTTTCCTAAGGTTTCGTACTACTCTTCATACTACTTCATACTACTCATTTGTTGACAAACCTGGAGAAGCTTCCATATTACTACTGACAAACTGGCACACAAGTGAAAGGCTTGCTTCATTTCACACCATAATCTGTGCTATTGCCAAGGCTTAATAAGACTGCTAGAGTTCACTTCCAGCCTCACAAGTGTTGCCAGGGATTAAAAAAGAATTGCTAGTTTTATATAAAAATGCTTTTATTAGTGTTTTAGTTTTGGTATAAAGTCAGTGTGTGTCTTCGTCTCTCTGGGCATGCCTCCCAGTGAACCCTGGCCAGCCCCAGGTTGGCAGACAACGGGGGGGGGCAGCCCCGAAGCGGCCAGCAGCGAGGGGACACTCTCTGGTGCCCCGAGGGTACTGAGGGCAGCTAGGCTAGTCACCTTTGCTAGTCATCAGAAGAGACACTGGAGACATCGGTAGAGGATAAAAGGCCGACTCTCAGCAGGGGGCCAGTCCAAGGTTTATTCGGAGCTCTTGAGGGAGCCCCACACCTCAGTGATGCACCTTGCTCAGAGTAGAATACAAAAGGAATCTCAAGGTTACATTTAAAGGGGGGAAGGAAACCGTAGATACATTTGCTGACCAATAAAAGACCCTCCAGGGATGCAACCTTAGGGATGGACATTTGGGATAGCGTATAAAATAATAATTGGGGGGCTGACCCCTGGCCTCGGACTAATCACTCCACGACTTTAACCGAAAGTTCTAGATAGAGGGGATGGGATGCTGAGTGACTGACAGAAAGCCAGGGCAGGGATTTGGGGGATGAGCTCAACACAGGAGAATGATTACACAGGTAGAGGAAGGGGGTACAAAAAGGGGTACACCATTTGGGAAAATAAGGGGATACAAAACCAAAACTATTACAAGTTAAGTATAAAAGCATGCTACAACAAGTGTGTCTGTGTTGGCAATTTAGGAGATTTGTAGCAAGCTGATTATAACATCACTGTCTCCTAATAATCTTTCCATTACGTTTTAACCTCTTTGTAACTTGTTTAACCTTTTTCCAGCTCTGAGAAGCATCTTGACTGGATCAAGCAAGAGTGGAAGTCCAGGAAGGACTGGTGGCCAGCCTTCCATTTTAGCCGTTACTTGGCAAAAAGGAATTGGCAGGGAAATAAAAGCCTTTCATATGAAAAAGCTCTGGTGGCTGGAATCCTACTGGGAAAGGGTATAATTTTTTTTTCTTTTCACTACATGGAACAGAAATAATGTCTATTTCTAGCCCTAATGACATGGTATGCAGCTGATCTGCTGCCTGGAAGAATTGCAGTTTCTTTCTTTTAAAAAGGGTTCTTGTCTTTGGAGCTGAACATGAAAGGTATTTAAGTTGGTTTGATATTTAACAGTGAGGCAACTGGTCTTATCATGGTTTAGAATTCAGTTTTATCTAGCCTTGTTGAGCAGCCACAATACTGTTTGTCTTGTTTGACCTTCAAACCATAACTCCAAAAATGCACAACACCCTCCTTAGGGAATATTGTGAGGACTGCAGGGAGTTTGCTTGCTGGATGCCAGCCTGGGCAGTGTCTCAGCAATACTAGGTGTCAGCTGGTCATTAAGGACCATGGGGATGTTTTAATGCAGGAAAAAGAAGGGAGAGTCTGAATCAAAAACATCATCAGTGTGGTAAGAAGGTGAAGATCATTGCCTCTTTAGTAGCGTTATTTGAAATGCTGCCAAAACAAGGGGAGGATCAGCCCAAGAATCAGCTGCTAAATTGAGAATGGGAATAAGGTGTGGAGACAATGGCTTGTACACTGGTTTGGACTTCTGGTTGGTGGGCAACATGTTCATTGTCACCTTTCTATAACTTTTTCTTCTGCACTTCATGGAACAATTTCTCATATTGGAAGCTCTTTGGATATTTTTTGGTTTGCTTTCAGTAGGACCAGATATCTCCATTTTATTTCCAGATAGCAAATAAAAGCATTCCAGTTCAGATTTTATTGAATGACGTTTCAGTACTTACTGGTCTCAATGTGAGCCTCTGTTTTCATTATCCAGCATAATAAATTAATGTATGATATCAATGCTGCTTTACACTCTTGAAATTTTACTTTCTGATCTAATTTGCAGAGCAAAAATGAAAGAGAAAAAGTATTATGCAAGATAACAAGCATTTAGATACATGTAGAATGTTCGCTGGGCTAAATGAGGATAGATTATTTAATGCTGCAGTTATGTCTCTAATGAGCATGTCTTGGATTTTAATACCTTTAATTACTGAAAAGTTTCTTAGCTGTTTGCATATTATTTAAACAATGAAAGCATTTTGTATTTGCTTGTATCAAACAGCTTAGTGTTGTTTTTTTATTTCTTTCCTTAGATTGCAAATACTTTAAATATGTATCGCATCAAGGCTGCAAAGCTCAGCTGAAAAGGTTTCGGTTGCTGAAGAAGTTTGTGACAAGGCACAATCCTGTCTACCTGAGAATATCTGGTCGTCCAGATTCCTCTGTTCAACCTTGATGAGAAGGTGTCCCTAAGGTTCTTGGTACTTTTTCCTCTCTGTAAAACTGACTTTTGTGTTGGTGGTACTCCAAAAACTCTAGGCAGATCCTATTTACTCAGTACTAGACTTTTTTTTAAATATATTTATGTAAAACCACTTTGGTTTGCATTTATTTTATAATAAAATGAATATAAATCAAGTGATAATGTCAAAGAATTTCTGTAATGTTACTCTAATATTGGTGTGAAATGCAAACAGTGTTGATTTCAAATACATCTTGAAAGAGCAGAGGCACAGAAATACTGAGAAATTCTCTACCTGCTGGAAGAGACTTTTTTTTTTTTTTCAGTGTCTTGGTTTAGGGCAAGTTTGGGAGATAACTCTCAAAGGGGCTTCTTTACAAAAGCAGATTTAATTGCTTCTCTTTTCTTTTAACTGGTTCGGGAGAAAATATTTCTTTGGAGAAAAAAGTGGAAAGAAACTTGTTTATTAAACAATAGAACTCAAATAATATTAAATAATAAAACTTCTTACTGCTCCAAAAAAAAAAGGTAAACTCAGAACAGTCTCCTCCCTGGATTGCAGCTCGGCTTATTCAGTTTCTGATTAGTTTTTCTGGTGCTGGAAATGCCGTGGCCCAGGCCCGGCCAAGGGGTCACAGGTGGAGCTGCTGGTGCTCTTCTGGGTGTTTAGTCTAGAGCAGGTTTGAACAGATTTAAGAAAAATGAAAAATCACAGTTCAGGGAACTTCTTTGTTTCAGCTAGCTAAAACTAACTAAAAGCAAAAAAAGGGGAAAAAAGGAGCTCTGTCTTGCTGTTTGTTTATCTGCAGACAACACAGTTCAGGAGTAGGAATGTGGAGGAGTGAGTGCAGTTTGAAAACAAACTGCACGCTTCTTCCCTCTTCTGTTTACTCTCTGGAAGAGAGTCTTAAAGGTGTAAAACTTATTATTCAGTATAAACAGAACAAGACGATTGGGGATAAAAGCATCATATAGTCAGTTCAGGATAATCCACTCCTTATCTTTATATCATCAGCTTACTATTAAAACTAATATATATTCTAATTCTACAAACACATACATTATACATCTAATATACAGCTATACACAGATAATGGTAGTAACATTCAGCAAACAGTGATATTTATACATAGTTTTTACTTAATAATTAGATTTTTTTGAGGTACACATTGTGTTCTTTTATCTTTTTGCATTATTTACTATGTGCAACCTGGTCTTTGAGCAAAAACAACTTTACGAATGGGTTTGTCTGTATTCGAGGTAGGATTGATTTAAACTGTTTTTTTTTAACGAACTCTTGATATGTACTACTGGGACTTTGTTTCTATCTGCTCTGTGCAAAGGTTCAGATTGTGCAGGGTCTACTCGGTTAGTAGAGCTTCGGGTATTAACTAACTAGGTGTTTTTTGTCAGACGCTGCTCTTAATTTTTGAAAGATCCCTCACCTAAGGCTTTTAAGGTGGTTTTTAACAGTTTATTGTACTTTTCTACTTTGCTTGCAGCTGGTGCATGGTAGGGGATATGGTACACTTACTTAATGCCATGTTCTTTGTCTCAGGTGCTGATAAGGCTGTTTTTGAAATGAGTCTCATTGTCTGACTTAATTTTCTCAGGGGTATTATGTTTCTACAGGACTTGTTTTTCAAGGCTCAGGATGGTGTTACGGGCCGTAGCATGAGGCACAGGGTAGGTCTCTAACTACTCTGTGGTGGCTTTTACTATTGTGAGCACATAGTGCTTGTTTTGGCGTGTCTGGGGCAGTGTGATGTAGTCAATTTGCCAGGCTTCGCTATACTTGTACTTGGACTACTGCTCACTATACTATAAGGGCTTCACCCTCTTGGCCTGTTTGATGGCAGCACAAGTCTCAGAGTCGTGGATAACTTGAGAAATACTGTCTATGGTTAAATTTACTTTTTGGTCTCGTGTCTACTTATAGGTGGTATCTCTACTTTGATGACTTGAGGTATCATGGGCTCACTGAGCTAGGAATAACTGTCTTTTGTGTTTTCAATCTAGGTCTATCTTGGACATCTCTATTTTTGAAGCTTGGTTTATTTGCTCGTTGTTTTTGTGTTCTTTATTAGCTTTACTCTTGGGGACATGGGCATTTATATGGTGGACTTTTACAGGTAGCCTCCTACCCTGGTAGCTATGTTTTTCTATTCTTTAGCAGCTCAAATTGGTTTTCCTTTACGCTGCTAATTAGCTTCTTTCACCTTTCCAGCTATCTTCACAGAGCATTGGCTACCATCTATGAATTAGTGTAGAGGTAGAGTTTTGGTTACTTTTTTTTTTCAGTAATGTTTAAAGCCAGTTGAACAGCTTTGAGTTTAGCAAGTTGGCTTGATTTACTTTCTCTTTTAGTGGCTTCTGCGATCTGTCGTGTGGGGCTTTATACGGCTGCTTTCTACTTCTGGTTCATTCTTACTATGCAACAGGAATTATCAGTAAAAAGAGCGTATTGTGTTTTTTCTGCTGGCAGTTGGTTATATGGAGGAGTTCCTTCAGTACGTGTTACTTCTTGTTCTTTTTCATCAGTGAGACTGAAGTTTTTACTTTTTGGCCAGTTTGTAATTATTTCCAGAATCTCAGGGCGATTCAGCTTTCTAATACGGGTGCGCGGTGTTATGAGAGTAATTCACTTACTTCATGTAGCACTGGTGTCATGGTGGGTAGAGGGAACTTTTGCTTTGAACATCCACCCCAGTACTGGTAATCGGGGTGTTAGGAGGAGTTGTGTTTCAGTGCTTATTACTTCTGAAGCAGCTTGGATTCTTTCATAGGCTGTTAAAATTTCTTTCTCTGTTGGAGTATAGTTGGCTTCAGACATTCTGTAGCTTCAATTCTAAAATCTTAGTGGTCAGTCTCGAGTTTCCCCAGGCACTTTCTGCCACAGGCTCTAGGACAAGTTATGGTTTCTGGCTACAGAGTAGATCATATTCTTTACATCTGGTCCTGTCTTGACTGGGCTAAGGGCTACTGCATGAGCGATCTCTTGCTTAATCTGGACACAGGCTTGTTGCTGCTCAGGACCCCAGTGGAAAGTGTTCTTTTTATGGGTGACTAGATAGAGAGGGCTTACAATCTGACTCCAAAAACTTATGGCGCCTAGGAAAGCTTGTGTTTCTTTCTTGTTGGATGGTGGAGATATTGCTGTGATCTTGTTGATGACATCGATGGGAATCTGATGCCGTCTATCTTGCTACTTGACTTTTAGAAACTGGATCTCTTGAGCAGGTCTTTTGATTTTGCTCTTCTTGATGGCAAATCCGGCTTTCAGGAGAATCTGGATGATTTTTTTTCCTTTTTCAAACACTTCTGCTGCCGTCTTCTCCTATACAATGATGTTATCAATATATTGCAGATGTTCTGGAGCTTCATTTTTTTTTAGTGTATTCTGGATTAGTTTATGGTAGATGGTAGGACTGTGCATCCACCCCTGGGGTAGCTAGTTCCAAGTGTATTGCACATCTTTCTAGGTGAAGGCAAACTGAGGTTTGTATTCTGCTGCTAGCGGAATGGAGAAAAATGTATTGGCAATGTCAATAGTGGCATATCACTTTGTTTTGGATTCTAGCTCGTACTGGAGTTCTAGTATGTCTGGTACAGCAGTGCTCAGTGGTGAAGTTACTTCATTCAGTGTATGGTAGTCTACAGTCAATCTTCATTCTCTTTCAGATTTATGCACAGGCTAGATGGGGCTGTTGAAAGGTGAGTGGGTCTTGCTGACCACTCTGGCTCTTCAGCTCACGGATCATTTTGTGGATGGGGATCACGGCATCTCAATTAGTTTTGTATTGTCGGCGGTGCACTGTCGAGGTGGTAATCGGCACTCGCTGCTCTTCTGTCTTCAGGAGTCTTACTGCAGATGGGTTTTTTGATAGTCTAGGCAAGGCATTCAATTGTTTGATACTTTTTGTTTCTACAGCAGCTATTCTGAATGTCTATCTGAGTCCTTTTGGGTCTTTGAAATACCTACTTCAGAGATAATCTATGCCTAAAATACATGGGGCCTCTGGGCCAGTCACAATAGGGTGTTTCTTCTAATCATTTCTAGTCAGGCTCAACTCGGCTTCTACTAAAGTAAAATTCTGTGATCTTTCTGTCGCACTAGCGATAGAAACAGATTATGTTTCCAAATGTTTTGATGGGATTAATGTGCACTGCGCACCAGTACCAACTAAAGCTTTATATTTTTGTGGTTTAGATGTGCCAGGCCAATGAATCTATACTGTCTAAAAAACACGGTTTTCCCTAGCCTCTACTTGGATAGAGGCAGGGCCCCTCTAAGCCTGGTTATTCTTCTTTCTCTGGGCATATGTCTTGGAGGTTCCTTTAAGGGGATCAAAAATATTGGCATTATCATCATATATGGTAGCTTGGTTACGGGCCACTGGAGCTTCTTCTTTTTTGGAACTTCTTCTCCGAGTTTTCAGTTCACGAACCCGTTGGGCCAGAGCAGCAGTTGGCTTTCTATCCCATCTCTTCATGTTTTCTCTACAATCGCACAGGAAGAACCATAGCTCAGCTCGTGGGATGTACTTTCTCTCTCCATCTGGGGAACTGTAGGAATGCGCCCGCTAATGACAGA